CTCTCTCACTGTTGTCTACACTTTTTCCTTAGGCGTGCTTCCTCCATGTAGTATACAGTTGGCCCGGATCCGATCCCGAGCCGGAGCCAACGCTCCCGAGTCGGAGCCCGCATAGACCGAGCGCTCTGATTGGTCCGTGTTTTTTGTTAATAACTCGGTAACCAAGCCCCATTCTGCATTTTGCCAAAGGAAATTGTTGTTCAGGAAGACCCTCCCTATCTGCCATTTTCGGCTCTTACACCCTTTACGGAACACCCTGTATGCCTAGCATACCCCCACCAAGTATTGATCCCCACCATGGTCGCTTCGTCCCCACTTTCCGGCCGAGGGAAAAATTATGAGATCCCTGCGGCTATACTCTATTTCCCGAGTGACTAGGAGCCTTCCGCGCAGCTTGAAAGGTGATGGAGGCCGCAGCGAACGTCTCGGACCTCCCACCATGCGTTAATCGCCGCCTCACCGACTACGGTTCATTATACACGATAGGACAATAAGGACACGCTTGTATTGGGAAGTGGTAAATATGGGTGGGAGATGCGCAGAACGACCGAAAACTGAACTGTGCCGACTCCTAGTCACTCGGGAACTCAAGTATATGTTTATTTGACAGTGGATGATCGAACGGTCGCGGGAATTATCTGTCGCAGGCACGATCAGTCGCAGTACACTGAAATCTAAGGACAAGCAGAAGGTGGATAGGACCGTTTCCACGGAGTCGTTGGCCAGCAAGTCGCGGGGCGTGAATTCTAAGCCAGAGCTGAGCAGGTCGACGTCAGTTCCACGAGATCCGAACAAGAGCGCGGGATGGTTCAAGCTGAAGAGCAAGAAGTCCCGGGCTTGAAGGGAAGGCCATTAATTAATGCTAGTCTTGAGTTTCATAAGTAATATTGTAATCGTTAAACGAGTAATAAAAACGCGCGCCTGCTGTCCGCTGCTGTCCCCGCAACGGGCTTTAGCTGTAACCGAGTTATTACTTTCATCATTTTATCTTCTGTTTCTTCTCTAATGTACAATGAAATAAATCTCGGGCGACGATTAACGATTAATCGAAATAATTTTTATTAACCGATCAAGACGAATTCTTATTCTATTTTTAATCGCATAATTATTGTAACTACGATTAATGTAAAAATCGCGATGTCACTTCGTCCAGCTATGATAATGTTTTATTGTAAACGAATCACATGGCCACCTGATGATTTTTTTAACGGATTGTAAAATTGTTTGAATATGTACACACGTTCTTAAAACACTTCGGTTGTTTTAGTTACATTATCTTCTATCCCAACACGATTTTACACACAGGGCTGGACCAACGATTGTGAATGTTTCTGCTTACTTTGGTTCTTCCATAAAATGGATTAACTCAAAGTTCATTAATACAATTTTATTTTTTATTAACATTTTCTATCCTCTCCTTTTAAATTTTTACTCCTTTTAATGTATCACTATGGAAACGTTTCTCTACCAAATTTAACAAATTAAATTTGCTGTGTAAGAGAATGTAACATATTCCAAGAAAATCAATTTTCTCAATTTTCCTTATAACAAACGTGTTGATGTTTAATAAATTCTAACTTCAGTCCCTCGTTTCCTGACAAATAAATTCCTAGGAAAATTTCCAATATGGAGCGTGTGGTTTATGAAAACCGGATGAATTAATTTCACCGTGAATCAGAGTGCCATTTCCGTTTTCCTAACAGGTGTACAAACACCGTCCGAACGTAAAATCAAAATTTCTAGACGTCGCAAGGTAATGTTAATTTAACGACAGGTAATATGGTTTAAGATAAGAGATAAGGCGTAACGAGCAGCGTGAAAAATAGATTGTTCGTCATATTATGAGGTGTACGTTACAACTGTACAAAAAAACGAGAAATCACCGGTTGGTTACAAGCATGTATAATTTCTGAATGTCTGTTATATTGTGCATAGATCGACCAGATCTTACTTACACACACACACTAATTGTAAATATTTGTAATAATAATCTCTGTTTCTAACTATATCTTCATATCTGCTTTATTGTGTCTCCACTTAATTCTTCATAGATTATTCTGATCTTATCTGTCGTTATCAGATAATTATCTGTCGATGCAATCATCGAAAATTACAAAAGAAAATATATTTTACCAACGTCGTACATTCATTTCTATTTGGTGCTGCTTATGTCGAGTGTATATAATAAAAAACAAAATTCTGGTTTTCATGTAAATATATTAGATCCATCTGAT